AAACCAGGTAAAAACGCAAAAGTCTGCTAGACAGTGAAGGCACAGATCTGCTTCACATTGCCACCTAGCCGCCCGGAGTGCATACTACATCGAATTTCACACACGTTTGCGTCAACATATGCACGCAGATTTCCCACCCATAACGCTCCTCTTAACGCAGAATAAAAAGTGATAACGCAACGCCACTTTTGCGTTTTCTCTTCAGATAAAAGTTTAATTGGAATTAAACTACTTTGCCACGCTGGAAACCATCGGAAACTGTTGTTGGGCCGATTGGGCGGGCCTTACAACCAGAACAGGTTTGCGAATTACATGCAGGTTTTTATGAAGTGGGTTTACATTTACACTTTACATTATGTTACTCTGTATTTACTTGAGTGACTCTAATTACCTAATTGTACTATTGTCAAGCTGCTTTAAGCACCAAAAGTGCAGGAACCCTATTGTGTTTGTCCTGATTGATCTGTTTTAGCTAGAACTGCTTGAACCGTAGAACCTCCAAGGCTCAAATCCTCCCTTCAGGTCACACTATAATAATCAAATTTACATTTTTGCCAATAACGACAGAATTCTTTGAGACTATTCTGGTATAAAGTAGATAAATAAATATTGTAACATTGTTAAACTTGTCCTAGATAATTGGTTCGATTGTCACACAAATTTGATGTGTATCATCTAAGGACTGTCATAACAATAAGTTATCAAAATAATTTTGATGTATCAAACCAATGACATTTTTTGGGAGTAGCTCATATTTGAAAAACTTAACAGAAACCATCAGACCTGTATCTTCTGAACGTAAAGTCCAAACTTAAAACTTGTTGCTACAAATGTATTATAATTCTGCAACTACTTTAACCTAAACTTTTGTTCCTCTATCAGTTAAACCATCTGTGGTTAACACAAGCTCAAGATATTTTTACGTTTCATTCTACTACACCAAATACATCTAAAGCCTCCTTGTGATTTTTTCATAGCTTTTACTTGTCTTGAAGAAGGTGGTTATTACCAACAAGAGCCTAAATGGAACAGTAGAGGTTGTTGGGACATACATCACGACAAACAGGTAAACTCGACTATTCACTAGTCCGCTTTCAGACTCAATGTGTTTATAACTCTTGCAAACTATTCTAGCTCAATCTTTCAAAAAAAATAAAAGATGGAAAGAGTAAACGGAAGCTTGATGAAATTTAACAATCAATATTGTGAAACGAGCTTCCACAGGAACCAGTGTGATGCTGACTTAAAAAATAAAATATGTAATTTGTGCCGCACTCTATATATGCCTTCTTGTTTTGACTTCTTGAAAACTGCTTTAAAATAATGTTACGAAAGTTTGGCAACACTGACATTAGACGCAATGATTGCTATTAGGGCTGCTTGATAATGGCAAAAATCATAATTATGATTATTTACCATGATTATTAGTGGGTCTTATTTCATGATATGAATAATTTTAGATATCAGTAAAATCTCACAATTATCGTTGGGCTACTTCAGCAAAAACTAATACTAGGTTACTAATGTAGCGAAGTAATCAAATGTAAAATAACACCTCATAGTCTTCCCTGGATACATTCAATTTAGATTAATCCTTATTAAATCTACAAAAGTTATTAATTTAAGAAAAAACAAGTTCTTTATGACCCGCATTTCTTATATGAAGATTCAAATACAAAAGAAAGGCATGAGTCGGCTCATTTGTCAATTGTAAGTTTTAGTTTAAAATCTTTGTGATTTTAAAGGTGCTCTGTGTAACTTTTCTACTAAAATGAATCCTTTTTTTATTGCCTGTGTGTGAAGGGGTTGTAATCACACATTAAAATGATCCACTTGTCGAGTTTTGCTATCACCTCTGAAGGCCAGTATTCCTATTTCTATGTGAAGTCTCCGGGTCGGATTTACCGCGAAATCCAACGGATGTGACGTGCATGCGCGCTCCCGAGCCTCTCTCCTTATATACAGTCTATTGTAGACGGTCAGGGAGTTACGTCCGTTTAAAGGCACACGTTTTTCGGCTTATATCTCAGTCAATCTTTGATCAATATTCCCAAGACTCTAATCGTTCGTAGTGCTGGACGGGGCCTTTCGAACGAGCCCACCCCCGAGGTCCAACTCGCCCGGCTCCCTGAGTTATAGCCGTTCGAAATCGGGGGTCCCAGCGAACGACGATCCGGTAGGGGGCATCCCCGAGGCCCGCCACTCTAGCGTTCGGGCAAGGGTTCCCCTGGGACCTCCTCCCCCGAATTTGAGCTCTCTGGGTCTTTGCGTTTCAGAGGTACGAGCGATTTTCTTCTGAGATCGTGATCGTCCGCAATTTTGCAGCGCACCCGATGGTTTTCTGCTAATATCTCCGCGAAAACACCACCAAAAACTATGGAACTTATATGGTTCTTTTCAGCTCGACTAGATGGTCCCAACGAGCTCAGTGCTCGCCGAATCCGTCAAGTATTCGCCGAGATATTTGCGTAATAGACGGTATTGTCTATGAGTTCGAGCACGAGCGCTCTTGTAAAATTTGGTTGCAATCTGAAACATCACCACTAGAGGCCGCTAAAAGTTACATAGAGCACCTTTAATAAGAAAAGTAGGCTATATGTTTAAATATTTTACCACTTGCTTGAGCAACTTGATATATAAATCTAGAAGTAATTAATTGAATAATACATTGTTCAAATTTAGCGCGTTTAAACGTGAATACGTCGATGAAATTATTGTGCAACTGTTCTGTGTACAAAGAGAATCACGATGAAGCATTTTTCAGTAACAAATGTTGTTTTTAAAATAAAAATATTGAATAAAAGCTGTGTTTGTGGTATACAGCCGCAGATCAGTTGCACACTGCAAACGTGTCATGTGAAAGCACATGAGCCAGTGCTTCTTCTGCACTGCATAGACTACGTACTGCAATACGTACTGTATACGCACTGCAAAGGGAGTATGTGATGTATGAGCCTGGCATAAGACTGAATGCACGGATCCAATATTCAGTTACGCACTTGTTTTCTTTCTCAACTGTTTACATTCACTTAAGAGTCCAGACACAAACGACTGCGTTTACGAGGATACTTGCCAAAACGGCATTTTGACATTTTTGTGTGTAGGCTATGTGATCGCTAATCCGAATCATATAGTATACTTTGCTTATGTGCGTTCCGCTCTGTCTCGGAGCACGGAAAGCCGCCTGGGGAACACAGCGGCTTAATTTTTTTAATATTAGGCACATCCCTCAGTTTAGCAACAGTAGACTGCATTTTACAACACTCACTTATTCGGCTGATTTGGATGTTAAGTTAGGCTTAGGGGGGAAGGAAAGCCCTCCGTCTGAATGTGGCAGCGCCACAATGATCGTTTTACCTCGACTATCTTGTTTTTCATAATCGTTGGAAGCCAAAATCAAAAATGAAAATCAATTACGATTAATCGCACAGCTCTAATATGCTGTTATAATCAAATAAGGTAAAATGGTAGGAGCGAATATAACTCACAAAATAACAATGTTGTGAACTAAAATGTGATGCTATGCAAACTAAAACGAAAAGCCATGTCGATGTTGATTCATGTTATATTATATATAATATATAATATCTCTCGCTCGCGCAAGGTCTCGCTCGCGCAAGGTCTCTCGCTCGCTCTACGCGGTTTGGAGCACAATCTCTGTCTCGCATGCACGCTCGCTCTAGATAACGGGAGATTTTTAACGAATTTGCGGTATAACTAGTCGATCACGAGTGGCTCAACAGGTAGATATATAGATAAACTCATCTTCCAGGCATTTGACCGCCCGGGTTGACACTTCAGCGTGAGAAATCGGGAGTGTGGCGTGTGAGCGTGTGAAACCAATCAAATGCGGGTGTCTCACGGCCAATGCGTGAGAGTTGGCAGCTATGTCCATTGGTCAAATCAGCATTCACATTTCATCATATAAATTAAGTTGTAAAGTACTGATTATTATGAAATTTAACATAAATGGTATCTAGAGGCTGTTTTTTCATTTGCGCTCACATTCAAAGCATGCACATAAAGCCACCTCTCATAAAGTTTGCGAGTGCCAAACACGCTTAATCGGACAAATACATACAAAAAATAATGCCACAATGTCTGTCTTGCCGAGTTTTCACATAAGCACAATCCTCCTAAGTGAATGTAACCAGTTCAGAAAGAAAGCACGTGTATACTGGATACATGCATCAGGTCTTAAAGTGAAAGCATCTTTATTCTGTTGTATTTATTTGTGCTATCCTTAGTCATTTGTTTATTTGTTCTTATTTTATTGCTAACTGTTTACTTGGCCCTTTTTTAAATCAAACTATCTTGTGATATTGCAACAAAATTAGCCCATTGTAAAGACACAAATACATTGACTCACAATGAGTAAACATTTAGGTGAGATAGTTAATAATATGTTTATATATAAACGCCTACATTGAAATCTATCATCATATAAAGCGATCTAGGCTTTCAATGGAAGGACAAAAATTAGAAAATATTAAAAATATCTATACAGTACATACGCACTTCTTTCCCATGGTATCAAAAAAAATTGTATTGAATATCGACACTTTTCAAGTTAATTGTATCGAGGTTAGAAATTCCAGTATCATGACAACACTAGTTTAGGGTGCCACAAGTTATTGAAAAATTTCAAGGGGTACCGTGGGTCCGTGACTCAAAAAAAAAAAAAAGTTGGGAAACTGCATTAGCACATTCATGTTAAATTCATAGGTTAAATTTCAATTTCTGATCTTAGGGGGCGCTAAAGAAACCTAAAACTTTTGAACTACGTAATGTATGTGCTGCTGCTGACATTAAACTCCTGTATCGACACGATCAGCATCAGCAGCATCTTTTGTCAATTTTGGTCATTTTCTCCACTTTTCCAAACTACCTGGTCCCCTATTTAGCTACATTGAGTATACACAATAGTTGTTAATGATATTAACTATTTAGATACTACTGTAAAGCAAAAGGAAAAGTTAAAAGCATAAATAAACACTCACAACTTGTCTGTAGTCGGTCTCGTCGACGCTGCTGACGTTCACGGGCTGAACGTTCTGAACGTACACTTGTTGCATGACGCGCGGCGCCTGACTCAGGTACACGTACGACTCCGCGGGCCGCTGCTGCTGCACGGGCACCAGGTAACGTGCGCCCCCGTACACCACGTTCCCCTCCATTTGGTTGTTAATGTACTGGACCGGCTGTAGTTGAGACCCAGCGAGGCTCACCGTTCGGTAGGTCGTCGAACCGTCGCTTATCCCGACAGGAGAGGTTTGCTGAAGTTGAGATCCAGCAAGGGTTACCGTGCGGTAAGTCGTTCCTTCGCTCACCCCGACAGGAGAGGATGGTTGCAGCTGAGATCCAGCGAGGGTTACCGTGCGGTATGTCGTTCCTTCGCTCATCCCGACAGGAGAGGATGGTTGCAGCTGAGATCCAGCGAGGGTTACCGTGCGGTATGTCGTTCCTTCGCTCATCCCGACAGGAGAGGATGGTTGCAGCTGAGATCCAGCGAGGGTTACCGTGCGATAAGTCGTCGAACCGTCGTTTATCCCGACAGGAGTGGATGTCAAGACAGTATGTGTGCTCGGTTCCGTGACGGTCACGGTGTTCCGTGTCCTCACGCTGTGGGAGTATGGTAGAGTCATTTCTGCGGTTGTGTAAGTCCAGAAAATTAAAAAAGAATTATCATTGATATGAAAGAGAAAAACAATGTGTGTGTGAAGTTTGCGAAGCCCGTGTGCGCGCCGCTGACCGACTCCTGAAGTCTCTCCAGTAATGTTGTATAAATGAGAAGAGGCGTGTTTTCTCAATCACTCCTCCCTAAGCTCAAATATCTGAAAGGAGCAACAGGGAGGTTCACCTGTACACTGTGGAAAAGGATTGGCACATTTATTAAAGGGACAGTTCACAAAAAAAAAATGAAAATTCTGTCATCATTTACTCGACCTCAAGTTGTTCCAAACCCGTATGAGTTTCTTTCTTCTGCTGAACACAAAAGAAGATATTTTGAAGAATGTTGGTAACCAGACAGTTGATGGTGGCCATTGACTTCCACAGTATAGGAAAAACTATGGAGGTCAATTGCTACCGTCAACTGTCTGGTATCAACATTCTTCAAAATATATTTTTTGTGTGTGTGTTTAGCAGAAGAAAGAAACTCATACAGGTTTAGAACAACTGAGGATGACAGACTTTTAATTTTTGGGTGACCTTTAATATCCTACAAGATGTAAAAATTGAAAAGACATAATTTATTTTAGGACAATAATGTTACTCAGACAATGCTTGCTGTGTTATAAAGTTAGCTTTGCAAATGTTATAGCCACGTAAGTTCACCAACATTTTTTCCTTGCTTTTTATTTAGAATTTAAAAAGTCAATTAAAAATAATTAAAAATAATTTAATTTTACTAAGTAATTAGAACAACTTCAGTTTGCAATGTCTTGCTCATTTTCTTTCTCGTCTTTTCCTCCTATCTTCCTTATTTTATTCTGTCATTAGCAAATTGTTTGAGCAAAACTCTTTTTTATTCTCTGTATTCGGATGACTGGGCGTATTGTTACATTTTGTAATATTTAAAATAAAAAAAAAGTGGCTGTCTGTAAGTTTTTTTTGAAAAAGTTGGGATATATCTAATAATTTCAGTGACATAAAACGATTTCCGGATTCAACAAAAAATTATTCTACCCAGTAAATAATTGTCACAGTAAATTGTAAACTTGCAGAGTTCAATAACAGTATTTCCTCCCAGTATAACACCCAATTGCTTCGTTTTTCATCAATTTGAAGAAACAATATTCACTTATTTTGGAACCGTTTATTGCAATGTGTTTTGGTTTGACTTTTCAAACATTATAGAAAGGAATTTATCCCAAAACTTTTGTATCAGCCAAAAATATGATTTCCTGCAATATTTTATATTAATGAATGTAAAATGTTCAAAGAAAATACCTTTGAATTCTACCGATTGTACGCTAGTTACGTGCGATTTATCCTTGCCGAACTTGTCATGTAGGTGTAAGTCTGATGGTTAAAGATCTGGGCAGGTGTCCAAACTGTTCAACCCTTGGCAATTTGGCATGGAGGTGCAATGTTTCTTCCATGTCTGATTGCAACACTATGATGATCTCATAATATCCTTAAAAAATACACACTTTTTTTAAATCAAATGACTCTAACCTATAAGCTGCATTAATAACTCTGAGGAAATATACACTATATTGTCAAAAGTATTAGGACACCCATCCAAATCATTGAATTTAGGTGTTCCAATCACTTCCATGGCCACAGTTGTATAACATTAAGCACCTAGGCATGCAGACTGCTCCTCAAACATTTGTGAAAGAATGGGTCGCTCTCTGGAGCTCAGTGAATTCAAGCCTGGTACCGTGATAGGTTGCCACCTGTGCAATAAGCCCATTAATGAAATTTCCTCACTACTAAATATTCCACGGTCAACTGTTAGTGGTATTATAACAAAGTGGAAGCAATTGGGAACAACAGCAACTCAGCCACGAAGTGTTAGGCCACGTAAAATCACAGAGAGGGGTCAGCGCATGCTGAGGCGCACAGTGCGCAGGAGTCGCCAACTTTCTGCAGAGTCAATAATACAGACCTCCAAACTTTGTGTGGCCTTCAGATTAGCTCAAGAACAGTGTGTGGACGAAAGCTTCATGGAATGGGTTTCCATGGCCGAGTCTATCACCAAGTGCAATGCAAAGCGCCGGATGCAGTGGTGTAAAGCACTGGACTCTAGAGCAGTGGAGACGTGTTCTCTGGAGTGACGAATCACGCTTCTGTCTGGCAATCCGATGGACGAGTCTGGGTTTGGCGGTTGCCAGGAGAACGGTACTTGCCTGACTGCATTGTGCCAAGTGTAAAGTTTGGTGGAGGGGGGATCATGGTTGTCTTTCAGGGGTTGGGCTTGGCCCCTTAGTTCCAGTGAAAGGAACTCTTAATGCTTCAGCATACCAAGACATTTTGGACAATTTCATGCTCCCAACTTTGTGAGAACAGTCATGTTGGAACCCATCCTGTTCCAACATGACTGTGCACAAAGCATGGTCCATAAAGGCATGGATGAGTGAGTTTGGTGTGGAGGAACTTGACTGGCCTGCACAGAGTCCTGAACTCAACCCGATAAAACACCTTTGGGATGAATTCCCATAAACACACTCCTAAACCTTGTGGAAATCCTTCCCAGAAGAGTTGAAGCTGTTTTAGCTGCAAAGGGTGGGCCAACTCCATATTTAACCCAACGGATTAAAGAATGGGATGTCATTAAAGTGCATGTGCATGTAAAGGCAGGCGTCCAAAAGCCTTTGCAATATAGTTTGTATATATATATATATATATATATAAAAAACTTTCAAACACAACATAGAACTGTATGATGATGCTGTTCATTAGTTTTGTTTAATCCTATGGCTCAATGGGACTAAATGGGACCTATAAACAACAAACTTTCAGTGAAAACTGCGTTTATTATCAGGGTGCACAGTTACATCAGACAAAGCAAAATAAATCAAACCAGCCACAAAAAAAAAAAAAAAAATCTGAAATTTTTAATACAATCATTGTCTATTCAAGCAACAGATCATAATAAATAAGGTGTTTGTGTTGACCAAAGACATTTAACTAAAGAGTGGATCACAAAGTAATTGTCAATTGCAAGCATACAGTATACCAGCTATGGATATTGGATGCTTTTCAATTTTTGAGAGAAAAAAAAGAAGAAAAAAAAAGCAGCGTCGGTTATTTGCTTTTATACCCACTTTGAAAACACACACACATATAGCAAATATTATATGTGTGTGTGTGTGTGTGTGTAGACACTTAATTCTGCACTTTTTCATAAGCTCATTTATCAAATGAATTTGCTGCAGTACATTTTAAATTGGAGTAAATTGTATAATTTTCATCATTGTATGACAGTGTCGTCAGAACATTCATCATGACTTCCATTATACATCCAAATGAACACCCTTCACATTTAAAGTACAACTACACAAAAAAACATTTCATATGATAAAACAGGAAGTATCTGCTAAATCAAAAAACAAATATTTTGAAAACCTGCAAATGATCTGTGGGTGACTAACAGTAAATTGAAATAAAAACACAGGCACATTCGTTAATGTGGTTCTTGGTCTTTGCTACACAATGAAATAAGCATTTTCAAAAGTTATCCAGAGAGGAATATTTCATGCACCATGCTGTGATGACCAATCTAGCAAAAGCCAAAGTCTGAGAAAGAATTGGAAGCAAGTATATCAAAGAGGAAACCCCCTGAAAAGCCCAGGCATTACACACATTAAGCCGTTTCAACTTGTCCCCTTAAAGTCGTGTGAAGAACAGTTTGCCCATATAACTTTAGCAATAATGTTTGATTAGTTTACAGTAGTTTGAATTGCTTATGAACATGTTAAAGGTAATGAACAACAGAGCACATCGAATTATAGCAGAAGTTAAACCTAGCACACCAAGAGGCATAAAACGATCAGGCAAAGGCATAAATACAAAAGCAGGAAGCGGTAAGGCTTGAAATATATTGACATACAATGATAAATATGTAACAGTACTTTCCCAATAACAATAATAAATGTCACTTAAAAACTCAGAAACAACAGTGCAGTTCTGGTTCAAAACATGTACAATTTGGCAAAGGAGGCAAGCACCAAAAATACTACTGACCCCTTTTTCCACAAAATCTGACCTAAAATAATAAAATAAAAAGTGGGGGGAAAAAAAACTGTAAATATTTTATTTTTGTTCTATCATACAGTAGCAGTATTTACACTTTTGACAGTTGCCAAAAATGTTTAATATTTTGCATGTGCTTCTCAGAACACACACACACACACAAACTGCATACACACATCTATGTGGCAATAAAGAGATCGCTGCAAAAGAAGAGAAAATAATAAAAACAGTACACATATGTTGTGCACAAGTGATTTTCAATTCTGTGCGTGTTCAAGCATAAACTCCACCTATTTTCATTGAGAATTTCAGAAGTCTTAGACATATTGGATAAAAGAAGCTTTTATGAAATGAGCAATGTTGACTTAAATGTGACAAATTGAGCAAGAATGATTGAAGTTGCACTAAAATTTGCTTGAGTTTTATGAATGGGGCCCATTGATTTCAATGGGATGTGAGGTCACATCACCAACTTACTAGTTCCTTTGGCATTAATTTGACCTGTATACAAGTCAATCATATCTGCAGTCTACAGATAAAGCAAAAAGATTTGTCATTGAAGCGGTGTCTACATGTGAACATTTTAACTTACAAGGATAACATCTCATTTGGAGTGTGCTGACCTCAAATATTCTAGAAAAAAAGTAGAAAAAGAAATCTACTTATATTCACTAATACACTAACTATTGCTCTACATCCTCACGTGTCTTTAGTGACTTAACTTGAGCATAATCGTATGATGCCAAGCTCTCAAACCAGTGAGGAGAAACTATGCCTGATGTTTTCCAGCTATAGCACTTTACTGCAGATATTCACCGGTGCGGCTCCAAGCTGACTGAGCATATATTACGAGACCACCACTGGGCCTGTGAACATGGCGCTGACGGACAGATAGCTGCCAGGAGTGAAAAATAAAGCATTAACGAGTGCAAAAACGATTGTTTAAATGTGTCGTCAAGTATGTGCAATACAAATGATGAGATGAGAATAAAACAAGTTCTTAAATAAACATACTTCTAGGTGTGTCTGATGGAGAAGGGATGATGAATGTTGAAGGACCAAAGCTCCATACACACACACACACACACACACACACAGAGAGACACAGTTCAGCGAAGTCACAGACTCGGCTACAATGGAAACTTCTTCAGCTGCTCAAAGGTGAGGAAGAACTGAAATTTAAGTCAAGGATCACAGGAATATACAAGAATAGAGAGATGTCAGCATAAGCGTTTACACACACAAATCTTATTCTCATGTCACAATATCCTGTTTTGCCTAAGGTAGAGTTCAGTGTTTTGTGCACTACTTTTTTTTTTTTTAGCAGTGGAGCTCAAATCATATTTACCAGAGTTATGAAAGCAGGTTTAGCACCTGTAATGAATGTGTTGGGGCTGCACACAAAAAAACACAAATGACTTATATGAACCAGATCTTTTTAACAAATCAAAATCAAAGCAATAGAGCTCCGGACGTCACGTGACCTACTCTGTTTAAACCGCCATATTGGCAGGCATATGACCGCTCAGGCGGTCCGGGACGTGAACGAATGACGGCAGCATGAGTTTCAAGGCAACAGAGTTCATAGCACACTTTAATTCAAAATACATAGACTTGTACATAACAAAACTTAACAGATCCCTATAATGCCCCCGGGGTGGTTTTCATGTGTATTGATAAAGGAACTGATAGCTTTCCTGAAAGTAGGCTAATAGGATGAAGAAGAGTCAGCCTCCACAGAACATAAAATATTCTTTTTTTATTTTATTTTTCGTGTTCGCATTTATGAGCGGAAAAAAACAATGTGACGGACTTGACAGTTCTCCGTTACAGACATGATGGCCGCTGTGAAAATGACTTTAAAACTTTCACGGACTTCAGAAAGCACAAAGCCTTTCTTTAAAGTAATTGTATCTTAATTTTAATTAATGCTTCATCAACCAATTGCCTAGATTTAATAAATAAGAAGTAAATATAGAAGACAAAAGATAAGAAACTGAGGCGCCGGCGCGTGAACTGGACTCTTGTCTCATAAATGAACCGAAACTCAGCGTATGTAGGCTACTTCACAGACCTGATAAATGTATTGAAAGCTTGATGTCTACTTTTAAACAGAACATTTAAAAACGAAAAACAGACTGATCTCTGCTTATGTAATCCGTATGAAATCTGCCTTTCTCTCTGGCGCGTTAATCTTGGGTGGGTCTTTCTGGTACAGTTCTAGAATGGTTCCAGTCATTTTTATCTGACAGGAAATTTGTGGTTAGGACAGGAGAATTTTTATCTTCTACTGCTCCTCTCCCATGTGGCCTTCCTCAAGGCTCGATTTTGGCCCCCTCTCTATTTTCATTATATATGCTGCCTCTGGGATCTATTTTTAGAAAACATGGAGTGTCGTATCATTTTTACACCGATGATACCCAAATCTATTTGCTTTTCAGAAAAAATTATCGATTGGCCATGACTGCTCTTTCCTCTTGTCTAGATGAGGTTAAATCCTGGTTATCTCTAAAAATGTTATCCTTAAATAAGGAGAAAACTGAAGTAATTGTTTTTGGCCCTTCTGAAAATACGAAAAAACTTAACCTGGATTTGGGGTCACTATCGACTTTTCGGTCCTCACAGGCACGGAATCTGGGTGTTATCCTGGATGACTCTTTAAAATTTGATAAACAGATTTCTTCAGTAGTTGGGTCCAGTTTTCACCAGCTCCTTCTACTTGCAAAAATTAAACATTTCCTTACTGATAAGACTTTGGAGATGGCAGTGCATGCATTTATTACGTCACGTCTTGACTTGCAATTCGTTATACTGTGGCATTTCTAAGGCCCAAATTGCCCGTCTCCAGCTAGTTCAAAATGCTGCCTCAAGATTTCTGTTGAAAAAGAAGAAAAGGGATCACGCCACTCCACTTTTAAAGGCCCTTCACTGGTTGCCAGTGCAATTTAGAATACATTTTAAAATTCTTCTATTTGTTTTTAAATCACTGCACTTTTAGTCACCTGGCTACCTATCTGACCTGCTGCATCAGTATATCCCCTCAAGAAGCTTAAGATCTGGAGAACAGAATCTTATTTTAATTCCACATTCGAGACTTAAACGCAGAGGTGACCGTGCCTTTTCGGCAATCGGTCCGCGCCTCTGGAACGACTTACCAGTGGAAATTCGATTGGCTCCGAGTTTGACCATTTTTAAGTCTCTTTTAAAAACTCATTTGTTCTCTTTGGCATATTACGATTGTAGTATTGCCTAATATGGAAACGTTGATGGACCAGAAACTGTGTGCCTTATTGTTGATTGTGCTCATTTAATGTTCTTTTGTTCTGTTCTCTTGTTGTGAAGCACTTTGGTCAGTCTGCGACTGTTTTAAATGTGCTATATAAATAAAGTAAACTTGAAACTACTGTGAAGATCGCGAGTCAGCATAGTCAACTTCATATCTTGAAAAACCTTGTTTATTAATAAACATTTAAAATGTCTCCTTGCTATATTTGACATAGGCTATTCATAATCATTACCTTTGCCGGTTCTTTGTGGCAGCTTTTAGATACTTTGGAGCGCCACCCTTGTTACATGAACGCACTATGCATCAGCACCGAAAACGTGATTAAAAAAAATAATAATTTTTTTATCTAAAATAAAAATCATGATACGAACAGAATTGTAGGTTTGGTCTATTGTTACAGCCTTAGTGAGATGAGAAAGCAGGAGTTCAGTCGTTTGTTAGTTGTAAAAAAAACAACAAAAAAACAATGGCTATCTGAACATCTTTGCCAAGCGCAAACCAGTACAGAAGTAATCAATAAATTACCGGGGAGGGTCATGCTTTTTTTCACAATCGTTTTGGAGGGTCATAGAAAAATTAATAACTGGCGAAGGGAGGGTCAAGTCTTTTTTGACTTTCCCAAGTTTTTCCCAGACATGAAAATATCCCAATGATGTGTCATTAGTTGTCCATTGAAATAATCAATAAAATAAAAAATTGTTTATGGAAAGTGTGTGAAAAATTTTGTTTTATGGGAAAATGATACTATATCTTTACTGTCACTATTGTAAAATTATTCTTTTATATCTTTACGGTGGGATTAAATGGGTTAATCAACAGTTTAAACATTCCCCCAAACCATGTTGAAATTTTATGGTTTTAAAATTTAAATAGACTTTAAATCATTCGACCGCTATCGATATCACTGCTACAGCCGCTCTGGCGCTCTCCTGATTTGCCTGCCAAAAAGAGTTTAGACTGCATGACGTCAGCTTCCGAAGCTCTATACCAGAGTAGTCTGATTCTTAAAAGAATGACTCTTATGAGCCGGTTCTTTTAATCAATAATAATAATAATAATTCAAAAAGTTATCTATTCTGTACGTTTTTTTTTTTTCAGACTGATTCTTAAGACTGGTTAATGAATCACTGTCAGACTCACTTTGAACGGCATTGCAAGTTTTCATTATTTATTATTTCATTACTGACTGCTTGTCCGTATGGCAATGTGTTATGGTTGAAAATCGACAAACTTATCCTTCAAGTCTACTTCAAAATGTTGGAATTTCATTGCATTACAATACATAGAAAATATTGAAGCCAGTGGCATCTGCAAACAAATGATGCAAGAACTAACTTAACTCTTCTGAGAAACTCCTTTGTCTTCGATTTCAACAATATATCTATTGTTTCGAATTGTGAAACCTTAAAGGTGCCCTAGAATTTGAAATTGAATTGATCTTGGCATAGTTAAATAACTAGAGTTCAGTACATGGACATGACATTCAGTGAGTCTCAGGCCCTGTCCACACGGACACGGGTATTTTTATAACCGTGACTTTTTTTTACGCGGTTCGGCCGTTCGTCCACACGAAAACGCACTGAAACCGAACATTTTTGAAAACCCCTGCCAGGGTGAGGATTTTCAGAAACACCGGTTACAGTGTTGTCGTGTAGACAGTGAAACTGGGGGTTTTGCCTTGCGACGTCAGAGTGTGCGCCGTTATCCGCTGCGTTTGACGTCAGATTTGCACTTCTGATTGGCCAACGTGGCTTTACGGTTAAGGTTTATATCGCCGCCTGCTCTTGACCGCGCTTGATATAGCGTGTTTTTGCGTTTTCATGTGGGCTGGATTTTTTTTTTAAACGCTGTAGGAAAAACTCTGGTTATAAAAATACCCGTGTCCGTGTGGACAAGGCCTCAAACACCATTGTTTTCTCCTTCTTATTTAAATCTCGTTTTTGAAAAACACCCCTGAAAAATAGGCGAATCTCCACATAACACCGACTGTGACGCAACAGTCGGGATCATTAATATGTACGCCTCCAAAAATGTGCATATGCCAGCCCATGTTCAATGCCAGGGTATGACTTTTCATACCCTTCCCACAGAAAAAAAATATGTCAACAGGCGGGGTTGATGTTTATCTATAATCGGATACCGCAACAGTTTAATTCGAAGTTGTTAGTCTGCTCTGCTCATTTCACCACGGACTTATTTTCTAACCTGGGACAATATCAAGCAGGCTTCTCTCAGCGTCTCATACTGAAGAAGGGGGCAATTCCAACTATATTCCCGCAAGCGGTAAACTAGTGATTTTATTAACGATAATTTACACTGTGTTATTTGGATCCAGCGCAAGGTCCTAGTACAGTAACAATAGCAAACTCCAAGTAACGAGCATACATAACTAAATAGTATGACAAAGTATTTACGCTGAGGTTAATATTTCTTGCCTGTGTTGTCATATAAATCTACAAAATAATACTGTAGATACATAGGCTATGTAAATTCCCTTTTGTCAAATAATTGTACTTTCGTCTATTTCATCAACAACACGTCAGGGGCTAACTACTTAAGTTTAGTTGCTCGCAGATAATGTTAGCTCACTCGATCCTTCTAGCTAACGTCACATTCTCCACCACATACACTACCGTTCAAAAGTTTGGGGTCAGTGAGAATTTTATTTTTATTTTTTGGAGGAAAGAAATCAATACTTTTGTTTATCAAGGACAGTAAAGACATTTATAATGTTACAAAAGATTCTATTTCAAACAAATGCTGATCTTTTGAACTTCCTATTCATCAAAGAATCCTAAAAAAAAAAAAAAAAACTGTACAACTGACAGACCAACAACTGTTTCAACATTGATAATAATAATAAATGTTTCTTGAGCATCAAATCCTCATATTATACTGATTTGTGAAGGATCATTTGACACTGAAGACACTGACACTGGTGATGCTGAAAATTCAGCTTTGATCACAGGAATAAATTACACTTTACTATATATTCACACAGAAAACAGCTGATTTACACTGGAATAATATTTAATACTATAACTGATTATTTTTTTTTTTTTTATCAAATAAGCGCAGCCATGGTTAGCAGAAGAGAATTCTTTTAAAAGTATTTAAAATCGTACCGACCCCAAACTTTTGAACAGTAGTGTAAGTTGAAGCCATACATGTTTGACAAGGCATAACGTTAGTCCATTTGTTAAAATGTTAGAATTTTTGAAAACTGACGTATGATTATTTTGCACGCTTGTATTTCAGAGTGCACCACAGCCCTTGCGTACTAATGATGTAGGCTGCCAAACAGATGATCCTATCGTCTTGTGTCTTTGAACACAATGACGCCGCAGTGAAACAGCCAATCAGAGCAGAACTCCTCATTACTATTCATGACCCTTCCAAATAAGGCAAAAACAGACCATTTCATTCTAGGGCCAATTTCTAGAGTTGAAAATGGACCTGTAAAACCATATCTGGACATTTGAAATGCCCTTAAATAAGCCACATACCCTCTAAGTAGATAAGATAAGAGATAAGAGACAAAATTAAAATATTATTTCAACACATTCTAGGGCACCACATTTATTTTAAATGTTTTGATTGAAAAGTGTGCTTGAGTTATAATTACTTAAAATAAATGCCACTTCATAATATTGTAATACCTGTGATATGTTCATGAAAATATATTAATAATAGAAATACATATTTTCTGGTGTCCAAGTATTTTTGGTGCCCACTTTGTGTGTGTGTGTGTGTGTGTGTGCGTGTGTGCATGTGTGTTATATATCCATGGATCTCATGTTGCAGTGTACTGACCTCTAGTGGTTGGACCATGCACACACTACAAACCCAAGGACATTTCTAAGAGTGCTTTCACACTGGCAGTTTAGTTCGAAACAGAGCACGGTTCGCATGAAAAACTGGAATATGAAAGCTGTCATGTGGATTTGTGAAATCACAAACTCGTGTCCGCACTTGTTCAAGAAGTAAAGTAACCTACTCGTGCGTTTTAGCCCAGGACGTCATGTTCAACAAAAATATTTTCATGATTTATCCTTGAAATGTATCTTTTTCAAATCAACTGGATAATTTAAGTGGTTCAGATAACATAATATTTTGAGTTTCTGTTGATTAAACCAATCTTAAATTTCTAATTTCAATTAACTCGATTTTAAGGTAACCAGGTTACTTTTTAAGTTAAACCAATAATAATTTGTTTACAGTGTAGGGGATGACACTGGTGATGATTTACCTCCAATATGATCGAGAGAGAGCAAATGAATGGCTCACAATCAGCTGTCTCAGAAAGCCGCCTTCATGCGACGCACATATAGTGACCCAAGTGTTGTTCACTCTGCGGAGCATAATAGCACCGAATAAATACGAACAATATATTGACTTGTTCTTTATAATGCGCTAAGCACCAGGGTTTGATAGAATCAAGCAGGTCTGAAACCAGACCACATGAAAAAATCGCACTTGGCCCCTTAAGGTCCTAAAACAAAGTATTTTTTTGATAAAGGATACAATGATGTTCCAGGGCCCCAGACGCAGCCAGTTGGGCCAGAAGCCTTTATAGAGAGCAAAAAAACCTTCATTTCTCCAGGTCTGCATGAGTCCGTCCAGGGTGCCCTTGTACATATGGTTACCGGCGAGCACACGCTGATTCATCATACGCGTCCTCACCACGTCCACCGGGTTGGAGGCCAGCGCTCCTGCCAGACCACACGCAAAACTGGAACTAAACAAACAGATGAAACATGTGACTCATGAAGTCATTGTTTTAATAATTCAAATTTGACATCAACGAGCAAAGAACTGCTAGAAATGCTCACATGAAATGAGTTAACACGGTGTCTCCCATCAGGCCTGAAAGAATCAAATGCTTCTTGGTGATGTCATAGACTGGCAGCTCCACACCCACCACGATGGCTGCCCTCTGTGCAGTAGGAATGACACCCTGAAAACAAGAAGGACATCACCGTATCAAAGCACAATCCCAGAAGCTGGAATGCTAAGGAGATATTCAAACACACATGCTTTGAAATCTCACCACCGATGTCTCAGGCGAGACGTAATGAAAGCACTCACCCTCCACAGGCCTCGCGTGCCCTCGGTCTGGTAAATGTTCATGAAATTAGACATCATGCTTCCCTGTAACAGGCTGCCTTGAGCCTGCATGCGAATCTGATAAAAGAGAGGGAAATAAGACATCAGATAAGACAAGCTCAGTGGTCTGTGTTGTAAAAATAAATTTAGGTTTAGGGCTGCACGACATATCGAAATTTAAAATATCACAAATCGCAATAGCTTGCGATATCTGAATGATGCTAATAGGATACTTCAAAACATAGCGGAAACCTATATATAGGTTATATAAATTCATTTTTTAAATATGTATTTATTTTACACACTTCAAGCTGTTTCTTATCACATATTGCATTTAACAAGTTATCGCACATCACATTTTTCTTCAATATCGTGCCGTCCTAGCTAGGATAAAGATAAGATGAGAAACATACTTATCTTTAACACAGCCGCAAGCAGTACACAAAATGTGTTCGCATGCAATTCATAACCGTAAGCATATTTGGCCAAGCCGTCAAATACTGAAATCAATGTTGCTGTCTATTCAGGAATGTGGGAGAATCGTAATTTATCATTTATTTAAATTCATTTTAAAAAGACCTAAGCATAAATATGAAAATAAATATATCTACACACACATACACAAATACCACAGTTCAAAAGTAAGGGATCAGTAAGATTTTAAATAATAATACTGCTTTTATTTAGCAAGGATACATTAAATTGATCAAAAGTGACAGTAAAGACATAATATCTACAATAGATATTTTAATATTGCTCTTTTGAACTTTATTTATCAAAAAAATCAGAAAAACAATTCTGTTTTCACTAAAATATTACGCAGCACAACTATCATAAGCTAAAACCGTTTTCAACATTGCTAACAATAAGAAATGTTTCTTGAGCATCAAATCAGCATTTTAGAAGGATTTCTGAAGTATCATGTGACTGAAGACTCGAATTCAGCTTCACCATTACTTTATTTTAAATTGTAGTGATATTTCAGTAATTTCACAGTTTTTGGATCAAACAAATCTCATGTGTCAAATTCAATTTTCTATATTTATTTATTAATATTTTGTTTTTGTACATTTATTTATTCACTCGGGATAATTCCGCAACAGAAAAAAAAATACCAATTACATGCACAGTTATATTAACATTTTTCTGCATTATTATACTAAAATTTGTTGTGGCTTTTCAAAGGAGATTTTACAAACCTTTAGCACATCAGTTGGATTTGCCAAAGAGGAGGACAAAACACCGGACACCACCCCACAAAACACATTAATCACCATAGTTTCATCTGAAAAACAGACAAAAGCCCCCATTAGATTCAGAATGCTCTTTAACACGTTTCATTAAAGACTAAAAAAAGAATCAATTGGCAGTTTAATGATTCAAATCGATAATATAACAAACGCAATAAGGAAGGAATAAGACATGCAATAATCAACCACAGATAAACTAATTTAAAGTGCATTAAAGCCTTATTTTTGTAAAGCCTTGTTTCAGTATTTTAAGATGTGGCATCTTAGTCTTTATAGAGCAAGGCACTAAAGAGAAGACCCCAAGAGAGAAAAATGAATGAGATTAGAGTTCAGTGTGATGACAGGAGGAGAAAGAACAAAATTTAAGTGTGGATCAAATTTTGATCAATAATCACAGTAATTCCTTGATCAATGTGACCAACAGTCAGAACAGCCGTTCATTTTGGCAGGAGAACGGGTATTGGTATCCCCACACCAGCAGGCAAAGCCTGTATCAAAATAAGCATTTGACACAAAGTGGCAACATCCTAGGAAAACCATGCAGTAAAAGCAATAGAAATTGGCCAGAAGAGTCTAAATACAGCATGTTTAATACAATAGAAAAGGCCAAGCTGTGACCTTTCTTTGAGTGTTTGTCAGAGGGATTTAAGTAATACAGATGTTGTTTGCAGAGAAGGGAAGGTTCTGTAGCAGGTGAGATGTTGATCCGCTGGCGCCAGCACCAGATAAGGTAATGCTAGAGACCTGTCTGCCTGCCGCTTCAGCACCTTTTGTTTGGGCCGCACATTAGTGATGGTGGTTACACCTTGTTTTCAACAACAGTATTGGTAGAGCCTCGTAACAGTGGAACATTTTAGCTAAATGCTACATTTAAAAAAAACCGACAACCTCAAAATCAAAAATACGTGTTCCTTGAAACCCTGTTATCTAAATCCCATTATGTAACACCAACTTAAAAACACCAAGCAAGCAACAGCCACAGGTGAAGGAACAGAATAATGTTCCAATGAGTTTTTTTTCTTTTTTTCATCTTCAATCAAGCGCATTTGAGCTTCTGTTCACCATATTTGATGCGTTCACGACTTGGATAAAACCACTTGATTCCACTTTTACAATCTCTTTATGAAGCGCCAAAGTTTTGGTGCAATGAGCTTTCAAGGGAGGGACCAAATTCGCTCAGGTTTTAAATCAAACACACCTTAATTTCTGTTCGTAGATAAACAAAAGTGCAACGGATTTGAAACAACAGGAGTAAATTTAAACTCTGGGATGAACTAACCATTTAATAAATCACAAACTATACAGCTAGACAATTCAGTGCAATTCCTGAACAAATTCTTTTTAGTGAATCAAAAACACTTATAAATCAGTCAGGGGTGCGTTTCCTTAGTTGGCCACGGGATACTCACCCTAGAGAAATGAATGAGAACTGAATTTTTGCTCTTACTAAAGTGCAAGTTATTGCTTTCATCATGTCAGGATCGGATGGGATGGAACCAGAATTGTAAGAGAAATCATTCAATTTCCCCGAACCCCATTCGTTTTGTGGAACGACACCATATTCATCAAAATGCCAGATTTATACAAAGAAAACGACTTGCCACTTAATCACAGCCGGTTAGGACAAACTCAGATTAGCACAGGGTTTATTGTTCTCTGATTTACATCATGCCTAGTTACGGCACAGTGTTAGGGAGCTAACTGAATGTATCCTTACAAGGGGCTGATCTGAAATGCATTCAAGGGCAACTGTTAACAATTGCTTATGCAAATCCACACAAACACTATTTGGACAACTACATGAACACTGGACTGATTCTCAACATTGATTTCAGTAGTCTGGGAAGTTAATGGGACAGTTCACCCAAAAATTTAAATTCTGTTATGAATTACTCGCCTTCACGTCGCTCCAAACCCGTAAGAATTTCATTCATCTTCGGAACACAAATGAAGATCTTTTTGATGAAATCCAAGAGCCTTCTGTCTCTCCATTTGTTCCAGTTGCTACGCATACGCAACTACCACTTTGACGTTTCAAAAATTTCATCAAGAGATTGTAAAACTATAAAGAAATCGTTAATCCATATGAATCGAGTGGTTTAGTCCAAATTCTCATTGCTTTATATGATGAACAGATTGAATTTAGGCTTTTATTCACATAAACATTGACCAGCGAACATAAACAGAAGCTCAACCGAACCTCCTTGACTCACGAGAACAAACCTCTTGCTGAAGCTCAAACGTGCTGCGTAACACGAGAATAAACCTCATTGGTTCCTGCTGAAGCTCAAACGTGACGCGTAACACGAGAATAAACCTCATTGGTTCTTGCAGAAGCTCAAACGTGATGCGTAACACGAGAATAAACCTCATTGGTTCTTGCGAAAGCTCAAACATGATGCGTAACACGAGAATAAACCTCATTGGTTCTTGCAGAAGCTCAAACGTGATGCGTAACACGAGAATGAGCCTCATTGGTTCTTGCAGAAGCTCAAACGTGATGCGTAACACGAGAATGAGCCTCATTGGTTCCTGCTGAAGCTCAAACGTGATGCGTAACACGAGAATAAACCTCATTGGTTCCTGCTGAAGCTCAAACGTGATGCGTAACACGAGAATAAACCTCATTGGTTCTTGCGAAAGCTCAAACATGATGCGTAACACGAGAATGAACCTCATTGGTTCTTGCAGAAGCTCAAACGTGATGCGTAACACGAGAATGAGCCTCATTGGTTCTTGCAGAAGCTCAAACGTGCTGCGTAACACGAGAATGAGCCTCATTGGTTCTTGCGAAAGCTCAAACATGATGCGTAACATGAGAATGAACCTCATTGGTTCTTGCGAAAGCTCAAACATGATGCGTAACACGAGAATGAACCTCATTGGTTCTCTCATGTCAGGTGAACATGCTTGAGCTTCCGTTTACCACAACTGATGTGTGAGTTCATGAATATTTATTTGTGATCAATCAAACTCTTTATGAACTTTTTAAGGCGTCACAGTGGTAGTTGCGTAGCTGTCTATGGAGGGACAGAAAGCTCTCAGATTTCGTCTTCATTTGTGTTCCGAAGATGAACGAAAGTCTTATGGTGCGTTCACACCGGACGCGAATAGCGCGTCAGGCGCGAGTGATTTCAATGTTAAGTCAATGCAAAGACGCGTTACGCGCGTAAAAAATTCCTGCGGCGCGAATGAGGCGTAGAGCGCGGCGCGGTAGACGCGAATACTCCTCATTCGCGCGTCAAGTTCGCGCGAATGCCGCGAATTGAGCGTCTGGCGCGTTAAGCGCGTTACGCGCGAATGATTTAGTTAGTGCTATTTGTGCATTCACGCGTTTGACGCGAATTCGCGTCTGCCGCCCGAGTTGAAAAATCTGAACTTCTGCGTCAATTCGCGCCGCGTTAACCAATCAGGAGCCTAGCTGCTTGCTGCTGTCACGTGGTGAAGTATCTGGATGCTTCAATAAATTATTTTGTAATATATGACTGTGGTTCTAATGCACAACAAAGCAAATATTTTATCACATAAAACTTGATTTCAATATATGAGACATATTCATTTTGTATTGAATGCTATTTATTCCATATCTAGATTATATGAAATATTATTATAATGTAAAGACAACCAACATATAAGTTAGTGTCTGGACAGTGATGTGTGAGAGAGAGAAAAAAATCACAGGACAGATTAATCACTTTTGGGGGCTGGCTTCGTTTATTATCAAAACAAAAATAAATGACAGATTAGGTGGATGCGGGCGAGGATGAACCTCGCGCCGGACTGTAGAGCGTGGGCTCGACAGGCATAGCTAGACCACTCGAGGCCGAGGGCTTATACGGCCTACGCTGTCCTCGTCAGCGTCCTCACCATTAGGTCCACCAAACCTAGCTCCTGGAGCAAATTGTGAAACTCTTGAAACCCTCCGGAGGTTCTGGTGGACCCGAGTACAGCGACGATGTCCCCTACGCAGCTGTTTCTGCTCTCCAGAGCATATACGAGCGGTGACTCTCTCGAATAATGCTAATGCTAATGCTCGATAAACATCTAAAAAGATGGCCGCCAACGGGTTTCGAAACTTTCGCCTCCGGATTTCGCCTCTGACGCGCGTAAATTTCGCTTCAAACTTTTGTTGTTACGCGCGTCAATTTCGCCATTGACACGCGAATTAACACAAAGTGGTCAAGCGTCAAACTAGACGCGGTAGACGCGAATTTGACGCGCTATTCGCGTCCGGTGTGAACGCACAGTTAAGGGTTTGGAAGGACATGAGGGTGAGTAAGTAGTGACAGAATTTTCATTTTTGGGTGAATTATCCCTTTAAAGCTATTGCTACTCTAATAAAAAATAAAAATAAAAAACATTTGTGACTGGATGTGTGCAACATGTTTATGTCATGTTGGCTAACAAGTCAATGACTACCCCATATCACTCAACACATTAGGGTGGAGAAAATTTTCTGGAGACGATTCACTCCTTGTCATAGAGCTCCCCGATACAAAGTAGGTGATCATCAATACTTTATGTCACAGAGATGTTTGATATCAATGTTTTTATAGATGTAGTTAGATATTAATTGCAAGATCATGTAATTGAAGCATTCAAGTGCCAAATACAATGTTTAAAGCTTTGTAGCTTTTCCATTCTGTTCTCAAACTACAGAAATGTTGCACTGAGAGGAAAAGATGACATGTTTTATGAAATGAACAGTGTGATCAAAGGATTCCTCCTAAACCCACCTTCAGGATGGCTAACAAACAGTTTCTTCAGTGTGTTGTATGTACCGATCTTGATTGTGCCGTAGGAAGCTTGTCGGAGGAGCGCAGGTGAAATTCTAGGAATAAAAAAACACAACTTCAAGGTCATTGCTTTCTTTCCATTCTGAGGTTATATGGAAATCTAAATAGATTAGTTTCAATGACAGATTAAATTCATCACAAGACCATGCAATGACTAACAAGCACATTTATTAATGCAAGGATTTATATCATTTAAGTTCTAAGGATTAGCCAAACTGACCATTGCTGTTTTATTAGAGTAATCAAAATAGAGAACAGAATGAATTCAGAAAACATTAACGTGTGCACATCATCAAAAGTTTGTCAAAAGCTTTCTCATATGTTTAGAAGACTAAGACAAAATCATGCAAAGCACATATGCAAACATTTGTGCAAATTGTTTTAACACAAAAGTACACAATTCCACCATATTTTTCCATAGTACCACAGGAAAATTTAGAAGTAGATTGGATTTACTCTGAAAATGCTGGCCTCATCAATGCAAATTGCAAAAAAATTGTGATAAGTGGTGGACAAAGACACAAATCAAGTACTTTAGTAAACTTAATAAAATATTCCTCCAGTGAAAGTACTACTTTTAAAATCTACATGAATAAAAGTTCAAAACAACTTGATTTAAGTATTAATAGTAAAAGGTACTAATCGATGAAGCACATTTATCATTTACTTTAGCCAGCACTAGTCAATAAGGAAGATAAGAGCAGACATTTAGTATCTGAAAATATGCTAATGTTTTATTACTAAAAACATGAACTTTCAATATACTAAAATATCAGTTTAAGTTACTGATAAAACGAGTGAAAATGACTAAATATACCATATAGTATAAAAAAATTGGGGAATACAAATTGTCTGTAGTTGTAGTGACAAATAATAGAAGCATATACATTATATGCAGACGTAACATGGGCTAAAAGGCATCAACATTTTTAGAAGAACGCTATGCAAACATCCACAACCAAGCATTTCATTCAACGGGCTTAAACAGCTCGACCTTTTACAGCAGATTTAGTCCTGAAATAACTAATATGATTTTCATTAGGGATGCAGATGCACCGGAAGGATTTTTTTGGGGCCGATACCAATTTTAACAAACAATTATTGGCAGATTCAGATACTGATATTTGTCACTTGCTCTCTTATTTGAAGTTTCGTCATAAGTATTTTGATCATGTTTTAAATTAGCAAAGTTCAAAAGTGCATGCAGCAATAAGTCATACTAACTAGTTTATTGCTGCATCAAACAATTTCTAATGAACAATGATTGGATCCATTTAACATTCAGCACAATCAGCAGGCCAACATAAATAGGCTACATTCATACAGCAGAACAAAGTTTGGAATACAGTAAAAAAAAAGTATTCTTTTTTTTGTTTTACTTATAATGGTACATGCACTTTTTCAAGTTGACTGTACTGAAATGTGTGTTGGCAGTGCCTGTATACAACCATCCTATAATGATAAAAATCCATCCAGTGTTTTTGTTTTAATCTCCTTATATGTTTTTCCCAGTCTCAAATCGAGCCGTTCGACCGTGTGACGTCACACGGTCGGACGCCCCTCCCACGATTGTTGATTGACAGCAGCGTTTCAACACATCCTCGCCCTGAGCGAGCTGTCATCATTAGGGATGGGAATTGAAAACCGGTTCCACTCGAGAACCGGTTCTAAGTTTTACGATCCATTGATATTGTATGCCCTCGACGTTAACGAGTCCTCTTCTCGATGCTCCTGCTCTGAGTCAGCAGTAGCCATAGTATGCAGGCTACAGACCGTGAACTCACAACTGTCCATTTTGTCCTTTATCAAGCACCAAAGCGAATTTTTGTACCGCCAAAGTCTTATTTGATCGGTGTGTCGTCTTGTCTTGTTTGATACGACTGGTAGGCTAAAACTGAATTGCCCTACGGGGATAAATAAAGTTGTTTGAATTGAATTGAATTGAATTCTTAGTGATTCAACTTTTTTGCCTGCCTCACAATAATTCTAGTGAAAAAATAGACTTGGATTGAAAAAAGGACCAGATTTATATCTAGAGACTGGTGGGCTTTCACTTCGTTGCTGAACTTAAAGGGGACATATATTGCCATTTTTATACAAGTTAATTTGATTCTTTAGGCGGGTCTAAATGAAAAATTTGTAATATACTTTAATTAAAAATTCTCATTAGTATTGTAAGAAAACACTCATTTTACCTGGTGAAAAACAGCTCGGTTTTCAGCACGCCGTTTCAGTGTATATGCCTTTATATGCCTCTGTTCTGCGGGCGTTTAGACACAACAGACGTGGAGTGTTGCCTTGACAACAGTTCAGGGTATATTTTGGAGAAAGAATGGCAGCGGGAGTCTCTGAGGACACATCTGTGCAACCGTATCAGTTTGAACCGAAGTCGGACCCGGAACAAGATGACGGCCGCAAAGAAGTTCGACAATTAAGGCTCGAACAGGACGTTTCTGAATGGTTGGATAACGTAATGTCACTTTGGCCTCGTTTACACTGTCAGTGAAATGTGACCCAATTTCGATTTTTTACTCGTATGCGACACAGATCGGATGTGTTCTATGACAGTGTAAACAGAAAAAAAACGCATGCATTCGGATATTTTGAGATCGGTTTCAGGCCTCGTTCATATGTGGAAATAAATCAGATATGTGCCAATGCGACTGTCATGTAAACAGGCAGATCGGATTTTCCGAGGCATTAGGCTGCGTCTCCGCGGTTTAATGACGAGAGAAACCCCGACGCGCACCTGCAAAGGGACGGATGGCCCGATGAAACATTGCGTTGTCATAGGAGAGGAATGTGGACACACGTTGACACAACATATCAAAGGTTGGCTTGCTCATCCTAAAATTTCAGACCCACTGCACCTCGTTAAAGCCCGCCACGATCTCATGAAAGTGCGTATATTGCACAATTTTTTTTTTCACGTGCCATTTACGCCAAAAATAGTTTTTTCGTGCATGATACGCACTTTATGGCGTTCAATACGCACGTTTACAGTGCGTATCATATGCAAGCAAAAACTATTTTTGGCGTAGCCTATAAATGGCACGAGAAATAAAATTTGTGCTATATTCACTTTCATGAGATCGTGTTGTTCCCACCTGTCCTGAGATCTCGCTGCGCGTTCGTCCATCTGTGCAAGAAGACCCCTTTAAACATGCGCGATGTTTCAGTCAAGTGTAAACACATGACTCGGATATGGGTCACAATTTACAGAACGTGTAAATGGACGGTCCAAAAAATCGGATATAGGCAACAAATCAGAATTGGGCATCAAGACCTGCAGTGTAAACGAGGCCTTTGGTCTATCTTTGTGTACTGGCAGGGTAACATTACTTAGTGAGTTGTACAAACGCTATGCGTTTACTGATGTATAGATAAGGTTACTCAGTTTGTAATAACACAATAACCATAACGCGTTGTTCATTATAAACGTGGGATTATGAATTATATTGAGAACGTCGTACATAGAAAACATGCCGTAATGTACCCTGAGTGTAAACCTTAGCCGCATTCATCGTGAAGCGTGCAAGCAGTATGCAAAGATTAATATAAAGGTTAATAAAACTTTACTCTCACTTCTTCTAGAGGTGCAGCAGGAACACGAATAGTTGGTACCGATTCTTTTTTTCAGGAGCAGCTGCTTAGCAAAACCAGCTTTATACTGACCCTCGTTTATAAAGCAGTCTGGTGAGAAATGATTCGAGCAAAAATGAAAGCATTGACGTTGATTGTGGGGAATACTCCTTTGAAAACAAAACTCAGCCACTGCGTCATCAGCGGTTTGGATTTAGGAACATCAAAATGACTATTCAATTCAATTCCAATTTATTTGTATAGCGCTTTTCACAATACATAGTTTCAAAGCAGAAAGGGCATTTCAGAAATGTACATAGAAAAATACAGTTCAGTGTTTCCGTACATTCATTCTGCCGTGGCGGGCCGCCACACCTAAAATCATCCCGCCACGGCTGCAGCTTCTCGGTCCGATATTGTATATTATTGTTAAGCCCCACTAAAGGCATACAAAACATTGTAAAGCACCATAAAGTTTTCGCACTATATTCCAAGACTTCTAAAGTCATTCAATAGCATAATGTGAGGTAAAAATTTATATTTAAGTCGTTAAGTTAAAGTTAATGGAAACTCATCTCTCCTCAGTCATTCTCCATTCAGCATTCAAACAGCACGTCACGTTCGGTTACGACAGTAACACGACGACACTCTCTTCAAGATCAATGTTCCCATTATTATACTTTATTTGTAGATAAAGGTCTATTGTTTGCATAAAATTACTTTATCTTGCTGGAGTTTATAGCGCTTTCTAAATCATATTCCTTTCTCCCGGCTGTCTGTTACTACAGCACTAGAGTAGAGAGCACTATGAATTGTTCTTCATGCGCACTGTAAGTTAACTGAAATTTAAAACTGTTAAAAGAAAAGGCTCAATAAACTGTTGCATAGATATAATACATTAAGCATAGATAGATATAATATCTTCGCTTTGTGCTTTGAACTTTTCAATGCGAAGCGCTGCACGCTGTGACTTTGCGTTGCTTCAGTGCATCATTCTGCGCACGGGATCATGCGCATAATCGCTTTGCCGCTCTTATTGGTGCCTTTCATGTTATAATGCGAGGGGAGGTTTAAACACCTGGGATAAGGGGGCGTGGCCAATGGGAATATCACTCACACCCCCTCCCCCTGGCGAAATGGGCCTGCCACCACGGCTGGAAAAAATCCTAGAGGAAACACTGCACACTCAATTCGAGCATTCAGAAACACTGTCAATGACATCATATTGCATTTGGGCACCAGAACAGAGCAGCAAATACACAGATCACAATACATGGACTAAGCAGGGAACCAATTTCAAGTAATAAATAAATAGATAATAATAATACAGATGTTTACGATGTCTGCCACATATCTAGTTACCGCCGTCGACAGTATTTAAAAACCTGATGGCAGAGGGAATAAAATAATTTGCATATCTATTAGTTTTCCTTGGGCATTAGACAGAATTCCTGACTAAGAACATGGTCAGGATGACTCATGACCCGTCTAGCCTTCTGGAGCACCCGTTTTTTCCAGAGGGAGCTCAGGTCAATAAGCTAAACTCCAATAATCTTGGAGCAGATTTTAACAATGCTGCCGAGACTATTCTTGTCCCTCACAGACAATCTATCAAACCAGCAGACAAAAGAAAATGTTAAAAGGCTTTCAATAAATGAATAGTAAAAGTTATATAAGATCCTCTGAGATACATTGAATGAGTTTAGCTTCCGCATCAAAGGGATTCTTTGTTGTCCACGCTTAAAGGGTGAATGATACTGGCTTCTGGGTTAAAATGATTCTTTCTAAAAATCAATGATTAACTCCTTCGTTTTTGACACATTAAGGTCCAGGAAGTTATCATCACACCACTTCACGAATTGTGATAAGGCACTTCCATGGCCCGGTTGGGCCCCCTGAAGAAGTGACAGTAGGGGAGTGTCATCAGAAAATTTCACAAGATAGCTACCCTGTTGGGAAGTCCTGCAGCTATCTGTGTACATAATAAAAAGCAAAGGAGAAAGGACACAGCCCTGCGGAGACCCTGTGTTTGAAGTGGTGATACTGGACATGTGGCCATTCGCAAGTACCTGCTGGAGTCTGTCTGTTAAAAAGTTTAAGAGCAACAATAAAATCTGATCAGGTAGATTAAAATAAGAGGCAAGTCGCTCAATTAAAATATGAGGCTGCATCTTGTTAAAAGCTGAAGAAAAATCAGCAAATAAAAGTCTTGCATGTGACTTGGGTTTTTCAAGGTGCTTGTATAATCTGTCTAAAATAACAATAAAAATCTTGGAATCATCCACACCTTTTCCAGCTTGATAAGCAAATTGTAATGGATCTAGTTTGCCATCGATTAGGGAGACAATTTCATCTTTCAGTATTTTCTCGAAAGTTTTCATCACAAGTGATGTTAGGGCAACTGGTCTGAATTCGTTCAGTTCTCTTGGATTAGAATAATTAATGCATAGCCTTTAAGTGTTTTAAAAAGAAAATAATAATGGCAGTAACCTCCTAACCATAAGATCCAGGCCAGGAAAAGAAACGGCAGATTAATATGAGATGATGGTTTGAAAAACAAGATGCTCTGTGACCCACAGATAAAATGACCAAGTAGACTGGAACGACTGCAGTCTGTGCACGCCAAAGCAGAAGGCCAGTTTCACTTGACTCAGCTCCGCTACAGACCTCGTGAATTAAATATCATCTATATTTAGAGTTTATTGCTGCTATCAGCTGTATTTAAAACCCACTGAACGGGTTACATATATACCTTTAAAAGGGAACACAACTCGTATCTTCAGAAATTATGCAGTAAAACACTATAACACTGATGCTAAAGTGAAGCATTTGTTGTCATTCAGAATATTTAAATCATTCAAACTCACCCCGAATACAACGCCCAGACGCCTTCTTCACTTCCGATCCTGAACAAAGCGTGGAACATCCCCCGATATCGGACCTCCATGCAGTGCGACTGCCCTTGAACCTGGAGCCGCGTTTTTGTGAGATCAATGGGAAACGTACCTGCAAGATTCAATCATGGGTTACATTTCAGATCAAATCTAGAAGTACTTTATTTGCATATTAGCACTTTATCTACAGTCTGGTTTGGTTGTGGATGGATGTATATTGCCTCTCCTATCTATCATCTAATGTACTACCCTATTTCGACAGTTGGCTCTCTTTGTGTGGTTGGGAATGTTGTTTTTCATGTTCTGCAATTGTTTTTTTAACATCGTTCTTCCACTAACAATCAAAGCTCATTTTATAATCCCTCCAACGTACAAACACGGCTATTGTGATTCTAAAGGTAATACTTTGATAGTTATAAATAACAGTATATTTAGTACAGCAACTAATAGAAGTAATGAATAGTAATAATAATAATAATAATGTAACAGCTTTACAATTATATCAATTATAATAATGATAATAATAAAAATCAAATATTTTATAATGCATGTTTTATTGTGGAAAGGGTTAGCCTAGCCTAATTATTATTTACATGTTAGTGTCAAAATGTAGAAAGAAACTCGGTTCTTTATATTAGCTATTGGACACGTAAACAAAAATACGTCTGAACAAAAAATAATAATATATCGATATTCTCTCAAATATGAATATGCATTCTGTCACTTTCATATGAGCATATGAGATAATAACATGTATTCCGAATAAATATACTATGCAAACTTAAATGAAGAAGTGATCTTTTATAGCTGATAAAAAAAATAGCAGGTGCACAACAGAGACTCACCGAATTCTGCGACAATTGAGGCCATTCCTCCATAGACGAAAGGCTTCCAGTTCAGGTTTGCCATTTCTGTAGCGGCCCCCTCGGCTTGATGGAGTCCTACTAAAAACAGCAGAAACCCAAAATATGAGCAAACCAGCTGTTTTAATCTCACACTGTACAACATAGCGCTACCCGTCTGTGTCACAGCCAGTCTTCCCAGATGCATAGACAAATGTGCACCGGAATATGACGAACCGCATTAAAGAATCATTGCGAGCGCCATAGGAAATTTGCGGAAATTATATTGGTTGTAAAGTCTGTCAGTCATTTTATCTGCGATCCTCATTGGTAGGAGTGATCTGAAGTTCCACCTACTTCCGTCGCCAAGGAGGTTGAGTGACAGCAAGCAAAGGCTCTCACCTATTCTCTCTTCAAACCGTGTAACATTTAATTTTTTAGGTTATCATTGCAAATTAAAAAGAGAAACAGAATGCGAGCAAACTCACCAATATAAATAAAATGGGTCTATGGCGTTGGCGTAGTGTGAAAGACCGCTATACTTGGTTGCGAATCGGACATCTAACGGCTTGTAACTGTTAGCCAGGTACGCAGAACTACTCTGAGCATTATAAAGTACAAAACGGAGTAATCGCGACATTTAGGCAATATCGCTTCGTGAGCTCACGTACCTGAGGCTTGGTGGTTCAGTCACCTCTGTTATTTTATTTTTGACTCCATCGTCTCGACCACATGTAGGATTATTGTACTTTTCGCAGTCAAACTCAAGGAGCGCACCTACGGCTCTTAGTTTACAATCATGTCTCTCTAGCAGGAACTCAACTCACCGCAACCGGAAGTTCCCGCCCGGAAGTTTGAAAGAGAGTAGACTCCGCCCCCTCCACATTTCAATGTCACCCTGTCCGTCAAGGGGGAGCAATCTGAGGTTTGATTTAAACAAACAAATTTTTTTTTTTTTTTACTTTTTTTTTACTTTTTTCCCCAGGGGAACGTTAAATAAATTAATTGGGTTTTTTTTTAATGCTTTTTTATCACCAAATAGCATGTACAATAGCATGTCCACATTACATCAGACCATATCACATGCTTCACAATACAATAAAAATTCCAAAAAAGAGAAAATGAAAAGAAAAGAAAGAAAACAACAGAGAGGGTACATGTCTATATATTGTTGAATAAGTGTAAATATATACTGTTTATATGAAAATGTTAAATGAAGAACATAATGCATATTTTTAGATTTTGACATCGCATCTTTGCACATTTTAATTTTCTTAAGCACTGTAAAATTGGGTTTGCCATTTGTGAATTTACATTTGTGGATATGAAATTTACATAGAAATAAAATAAAATTTATAAGGAAACCAACATCCTTTGAGCAATGGTCCTTAATACAATAACTTAAAATCACATATGTATAGGATAAGAGAGAAATATTTAAAATATTATCAGCATTGAATCTCTTAACATCTTTCCAGAAACACTGTGTATATGATCAAAACATATGGGAAATGGTTTCAGTAGAACTTTCACAGAAAGAGCATTTTGTTTAAATATCACTTTTAATTTTTTTGTAAAAATTGCTTGGTAGGATAGACTCTATGACTTATTTTATATGAGATTTCCTTATCCTTTATTGTAAATACCTCAAATGTATTTTAAAGGAAAGAGCTGAGATGTCAAATTTGGATTTCATGCAATGATAATATATATATTTGATTACCAAAATAAAATAAAATTCAGAGATCAGAAATTGTAAAGATTATTTAGCAAGTTTATTTCATTTTCATCTTTACACATTTTTTATCTCTCAACGGTAATAAAAGGTCTGCTTTTTGCCCATAAAACAGAATGTATTAAAAAAAATACAAAAATAAAAATGTATTGTGAAAAGCTGTAACCGTATAGTAGGCCTGGCAAATGTTACCATTTAATTGAAAATTAAATCACACCACTCAATAACTAAGTAAACCACTTCTTTCTATTAACGTCTCTTTGTTCAACCAAAGAATCACCTTTTGACTCTCTCTGTATTGTCTGTCCATTTGCTCTAAGGTTATACAGATCGTATGTTATAATGCAAGCAAAATTTGTCCATCTTTAACAGGACTATCATGCTCCCACAAATCCACACTACCAGCATCATTCACAATGAACACCCCAACCAGCAAAGAGATCGCATAAAGTGTAATTTCCATCCATTTTAAAACTCTCTTATGGCTTTTTAATCCTTCTGTATATATCATAGATTTGAATAAACAAACTCATCCCAAAAGGAGCCTTTTAATGATGTTTGGAAATATCTTTTAAAGTTCTCACGCTTAAATGTCCACAGTTTTATGTCAATAATGCTGATCTCATGATAAGTGGTCCGTAGACTTTGGTTGTGGTTTCACCTTCCCTCTAGTTGTGATGTCACAGAGTGGTGCGTAGGAGCCTCATCACATGCTGGTACAGCTGCTGAACAACTGACACCAGATTCCTGCAACACACAGAAGTGATGAACTTACAGTTACAGTTATTCATGCACATGAAGGGGATGATTCTCCATTTCAAAAAGAAAAATTCGGTCAACGCTCCCTTATAAGAAAAAGTGTGCTGTTTGCATACTTCCTTAAAACTAAAAATAAGAAAGTACTTAACTTCTCAGAAATATACTTTAAATTGCACTTGAGTATACTTGACCTATACTGACAAAAAAGTGTATATTTGGCCTATTCTTGTACTCAATGTTTTGATCAATAGGCGGTCTATTGATCAAAACATTGAGTACAAGAATAGGCCAAATATACACTTTTTTGTAGTCAATAATCTTATACCTTAAAACTCATCTTTGATCACCAAAATGACATTTAAAGCAGCACTAAGTAGGAATTCCGTTTTTGTCAAACAGCGACCCCTAGAGTCGTGAATAGCACTCACGCAGAGATGGCTCGCACTCACGGCCGGATCCCCTCCCCCTGTACACCGGTACCTGTTCAGTAGGATGGACGCTGTAACGAGTGGAAATAAGGTATGGCCCCTTTAAGAGCTGTGCGCGCCCAACACCACATGTATACGGCGCCGGGTTATTTCTGTTTGATGCTCATTTTATCAGAATTTTATCAGATCTGTTTTTTGCCGTAAAGCAATTCGTTACCTCGCGAGACCTGATATCACACGATACTTCCTAACACTGAGCTCGGCTCGCCGGCCCAAAGTTGCAAGGGTGGTTTTGCGGCTCACAGGCACCAGGGGGGTGCGAGACGACCACCATTCAACACGAAATCAGTAATATAATTACAATGACTCCAAAGCTGTTCGGTTAAGGTAAAAAAGTTACTTAGTTCACCTTTAAAGGGGTGGTATAATGCCCTTTTCACAAGATTTCAAATAAATCTCTGATGTCCCCAGAGTGTGTATGTGAAGTTTTAGCTCAAAATACCCCACAGATATTTTTATATAGCATGTTAAAGTTGTCACTTTTTAAGGGTTAGCAAAAACGCACCGTTTTGTGTCAGGCCCTTTAAATGCAAATGAGCAGCAGCTCCCGACACAGTGGGCGGAGCTTCAAGAGTGTGCGTGTTAGCAGCTCCGATTACCTCACGCAGACACACGCTAAAATGTCAGAAACTGTTCTGCCTTAAACCGGAGTCAGACAAAGATGGAGAGACTAAGAAGAAGTGACAACATGTAGAATGCAACAGGACATCTCTGAATGGTTAGTTGATGAATTTAGAACAGGTTGTACCTAGAGCATGGCGCAGAGCAGGTGGAGTCTTTATACCTAAAGAAAAAGATGCTACAAGCATCAGTCAGTTTCGTCCTATTTCACTATTAAACATTGAAGGTGAGATTTTCTTCAGCATTATTGGTCAGAGATTGTCCACCTACCTATTAAAGAATGGCTTCATTGACACTTCAGTTCAAAAAGCGGGCATTCCAGGGTTCTCAGGATGCTTAGAACACATCAATGTTATCTGGCAACTAATTCAGTCAGCTAAAAAGGAGAGGAAGGAGCTCCATGTGACATTCCTGAATTTGGCTAATGCATATGGTTCAGTGCCACATGAGCTTCTTTGGGCAGCATTTGATTTTTTCAGAGTACCAATGTCAATAACAAATTTAGTGAAAGCCTATTTTGGAGATTTGCAATTCAGTTTCTCAACTCCAAAATTCAGCACTGCATGGCAATGCCGAGGTTGGAATAATGGCAGGATGCACCATTTCTCCACTGCCTTTTACCATGGCAATGGAAGTAATCATTAGGGCATCAAGATGGGTAGTAGGAGGAGAGCGCTTGGCTTCTGGGATGCGACTACCACCAATCAGAGCATACATGGATGACATGACAATCATGACTACAACAGTAGCCTGCACTAATCGGTTATTGGGGAAGTTAACAGATAATATTGAATGGGCACGAATGCAATTTAAGCCCACTAAATCAAGGAGCATCTCGATAGTTAAAGGAAAGGTAGTAGATAAAACATTCTTCATTAATGGTGAGGCAATACCAACAGTTTCTGAGAAGCCAGTGAAGAGACTTGGGAGATGGTACGATGGGGATCTAAAGGACACAGTTCGAGTGGGAGAAGTTAGACGACAAGCAGTGGAAGGGTTGAAGAGCATAAACAGCTGTGCTCTACCTGGCAAACTAAAACTCTGGTGCTTTCAGTTTGGTCTACTGCCGAGGTTGCTGTGGCCACTGACTGTGTACGAGGTTTCTTTGACAACAGTGGATAAGCTGGAAGCGTTGATAAGTTCATACATCAGGAAATGGTTGGGAGTTCCACGCTGCCTCAGCAGAGTGGGACTTTATAGTAAAGGAATATTGCAGCTGCCAGTCTCTGCTTTAACCGAGGAGTTTAAGTGTGCCAAGGTCAGACTGGAAATTACCTTAGTAGAGTCACGCGACAAATGTGTAAGGGAGGCAGCCCCTGTGTTAAAAACTGGTAGAAAGTGGTCAGCAAAGAAATCTGTAGTAGAGGCAAAGGCTGCCCTTCAAATTGGGGATATCGTGGGACAGGTACAGCGTGGAAGAGGGGGTTTTGGGCTCAGTTTAGCTCCTCCTAAATGGCACAAGGCAGGCCCAGCTCAAAGGAGGAAGCTGGTAGTCAACGAGGTGCGAAAGCAGGAGGAGAGGATGAGGTGTATAAAGGCCATTTCCCAGGCCAAGCAGGGAGAGTGGATGAGAACGCAAGATGGGCTGGCAAGACCTTTGGTCAATGGAAGAGAGTAGGATCAGTTTCCTTATTAGGTCAACATATGATGTTCTCCCATCACCGCAGAACCTAAACCTCTGGGTAGGAGAGGATCCCTCTTGTCCTTTGTGTTCATCACCTGCCACATTAAGGCACATTTTGACAGGATGTAAGGTGGCTCTTAGCCAAGGTCGGTTTATTTGGCGCCATGACCAAGTACTGCGATGTTTGGCTTTAGCACTGGAAGGCAAGCGTAGAATGACCAATAAGTTGCCGCCTGTTCTAGCAAAACATTACACGCAGAAGACAATATTCCTCCGCCCAGGCGAGCAACCACCAAGAAAAGGTGTAAACACCAATTCTCGCCCAGGACAACTGGAAGCTGCTAGGGACTGGAAGATGCTGGTTGATCTTGATCAACGGCTTATTTTTCCACCTGAGATTGCCACCACTAACCTACGACCAGATATTGTTTTGTGGTCTGGATCAGCACGCATTGTTCAACTGATAGAGTTAACAGTGCCATGGGAGGATGCGGTAGATGAGGCATATGAGAGGAAGAAACTGCGGTATGCTCATCTGGCCACTGAAGCAGAACAGCGAGGATGGAGAGTCCAGGTTTATCCAGTGGAAGTGGGTTGTCGAGGTTTTGTGGCACACTCTACAACCCGGTTCCTCAGAGACGTCGGATTCAGTGGCTAAGAGTTGCGTCTCACAGTAAAGAACTTATCTGAAGCAGCAGAAAGGAGCAGCAACTGGCTGTGGTTGAGACGGAAAGATTCTAGCTGGCTGTGTACAGGCCGCCACGCTACGGTTTCGTAGAATTCTTGAAAACTTGAAGAGTCTGTTGGTTTATTTGTATAGGTTGTATAGTATTTATAGTCATTACGTTCCTGTGTATATTGCGTGAATAACGGGTGGTTGGGCAGATATTGTGTTTTGCGGTAGGTGGTAAGCTATACGGAACCGTTGCCACTGAAACTGCTTTAACGCACCAGTGGGGCTCGACAGCCTTAGTCAAACGGGTTGGCGCGTATGGTTGGGTTGCGGAGAGATTGTGAGATTGTGGTTAGGTCTCAGCAGCAGGAGGGATGTAGAGGTCAGTAAGCTGGGCTGAGTTGAGTGGGGGACGGAGGGGGGTGACTCTGGGACGCCAGAGTCACTGTCGAGCCCTCTTGAGGTGTCGTGAGCTAGTCAACGAAACACTGAGGACGGAAGGTGCCCACTTGAAGACCCTAGAGATGTCCCCTACTCGGCTCAATCGAGACGGTTGTCGCGCTGGTCCTGTAGTTGCAGCCGTCGCGTGTGCCAAGTACACTGCAGTCGTTAACGCCAGACAGAAGGGGAGTCACACCACCATATGGAAAGAAGCGTAAATGGATGGAGAAGCATAGTTTACTGTAAAGCTACATCTTAGTTTTGCCTATCTTGGCAAAAGCCGAGTACAAATCAGCATGAAGTTTTAACATCTACTCTCGTATAATGGAAATCATGTTGCTGATGTGGAGTTAACTATCTTCAATTAGCATATTCTGTCAGGATAATCTATAAATCGCTTGTATAGGAACTGTTGTGAGATGCACACAGAGTGACTTTCTATTGCATGTGAAAAGACGGATGCTACAGTTTGAGCTGACTCACAAATGTGCTTGGCTACAACAGCTCTTCCTCTTCTCAACATGGACTGCGTGTAACTGGGGGCGGGGTTTCTGTAAATGTTAGGGTTAGTGATGTCACTAACCCCGGCAGGAAGCTTGTGTAGTTCCGAGTCCTACCAGCCGTTTGTTGTAGTCCTTAAAAAACTATTTCTTTAAAAGCAAATATCTCCCTTTGCTTTGAACTTTGAGCGTTGTAACTTTGCAGATGTTGTTTATGCTCAAACAGCAACATTACACACTAACTAAAGTTAGAAAAGTGAAATCATAATCAACCACCCCTGAGCCCTTTAGGTTTTTTCCTTAAAAAAAAAAAAATGGAATATGCAAATTAGCCCCGCCTCTACTCACTCATACCAGGGGCACGTTGAAGCTCAAACCGGCGTGCAAAGTTTTCCGGGTTGAACGACATGTTTCCTGAAAACGGTGTGCCACGGGGTTTGAGATGCGTTTTCTCTTGTTTGGGTGTGACAAAAATGGCAGCCCAATCAGCAGCTACATGTATATAAACCACGCGCTATTAAAGAGACAGCTCGCACAATGGGTCCAAGTAAAGTAATTTACAAATGTGTCCGTGCAGCTCGCAACAATTGAAGATATTAGAAGACATGTTTGTCGTAAAAGTTTAATAGTAAAAATATAGCATATCAACAATGATCAGTAATAATGATAAGCCTAATACTCACAATAAAAATAATAAGGTCATGTAGATCACAGTCCCGGACGTAAGAAGTGGATTATCCTTCACCTGAAATGTGGATCTTTTCATCCTGAAATGCGAGCCAAATGTTGGATCACAATAATTAGGAACCAAAGTTTCCACAAATCCCTTCACTCGATTGGGATGTTCTCTTTTATTCTGGACGGCAAGGGCAGTGACTATAACATCGAGCGTATTTTGCAGTATTAAACACGTATTTATACCGATTTCATCAGGTTTCGAAAATTCTTCAAAAAGAACACAAAGAATGGCAGCTGCCATAGTTGCAACTCTTGCATCATCAGAACAGGGTGTTCAACTCACCACCGTTTCCTTTTAAAAAACGTTTTGCAAGCTCAGAGATCCACTCGTTGACGATCACACATTGACCTGATTGGTTACAAGGGAGTTTGTGACATCAGAAACACCAGCGATTTCAAACCGCGTTTTTGGTTCACTGCAGTTTTAAGGAGAAAATACTCAGCAATGGTGTTGACTTATGAATTTGCACATGGTTTGTCTTAAAGCATACTAAAAACACTGCATAGACAAATATACAACATTAAAAGCTTGATTTTGACCACAGACTTTAAGTATTCTAAGTATACTTGGCTTAATTGTGTTTACTCTTTTGATTGAGTTTGATTGTACATACTGTCTTATAAACTTACATTGTTTGAAAATATTGATTTATAAAAAAAAAGAATACCTTAATAGGAACATAGTAAACTTAAAGTGCTATATATATATATATATATATATATAGTAAACTACTGTATGATGTTTTGTTCACTTAAAGAAAACTTACAACTTGCAGTATAAAACTAATACACAAATTACTGAGTATATTTCAAAGTGTACTTTCATAAACTACAAAATGTGCTACAAGTATTAAAATAGTAAAAGTTTATATCTATAGTACTCAATGTTTACGACTGATACACTTAAAGTATACTTTTATATAGTCTACTAAAAAGTGGGCCAATTTAGTCCCAGCAGTATTGAAATAGTCTACTAGTATGCTTCTAGTACATTTTGATATTAGTATACTTACTACATAAAGTATACTTAAAAATATACTTGAACTTTACTAAAGTATACTTAATAAAATTAACTTTTTTCGTATGGGCTGATCACTCTCAAGGCGCTACAAACGTATTAAACACAAAAGAAGATCTTTTGAAAAATGCCTCAGTGTCTTTTTTCATACAATAAACTTATTTCAATCTTTGGACAAAAACAGTTCTTCAAAGTTTCTTCTTTTATGTTCCATTTTTGCACAAACTATCCCTTTAATTGCTTGAAAATTAAGATTAGATGTATTTTAAATAGTTTATGGTGGCCTTTAAACTCACCGGGCACCATTCGAGACACAGTTGTTTCTGTCCGGGTTAAGGCAAAAGAGTGACGCCACGCAATACGCACAGCACAACATCATGGAAAGCAGTCTCCGCTTTAAAGACATCTTCCCGATGCTCTGAACAACCTGAAGAATCTTCAGTATTCCTTTCAAAGAGCCCAAGACGTTCCTTATTTATCCTCCTCAAGGTGAAGACGGGCAGTGATGTGTCGGCGAGGGGTGGACACAGTGCTGCACAAATCGCATCCAAGAGCTTTCTGTGGGCTGAGCATAGCAGTGGGCACAACAACTGCTGACCAAAATCCACTTTCAATAGCAGTGAAAAGTCTAGTAGGGATGAATAACATCACCACATTGTTGGCCGTTGGGAGTCAGGCTTTATTGTGTAGCACTGTTATAAACAGATCTTTCCTCGGAATGGACAACTGTGTGCAGATTTTTAAAAACCAGTTGTGTAATTTTAAGCCCATTGTACTTCAGGGCTTTGACTCATTCACATGACTTCGAGAGGGAAGTTGAAGTGCATTATTGTGGAATCAATGTAACTGATTCGTCCTGCTCCCAAAATGTCTGACCCTGGCTCCTATGATAAAATGTAAAATGGTTTGGATATGGTAAAGGTTTATTCACCCATGAGCGATTCTGTTTGTTCAGAGTTGGTTCACTCATGAGTAATCACAGCCACGCTGTTAGTGTCCACCCACCTCCCACTCTCCAAACCCAAACCTCTTTCCATGTTCATCAGTTTCTCTTCCCCCTTTTTGTTTGTTCAGAGTAAGTAGACTGATCCCCCATGCTGACAGAGAGACATCTAAGACTTGCGGACAACAAAACGGACACTGGCACATCATCCCATTTTGAGTGAAAGCCAACCGAACACTCACTTGAAATCCTTGTTCTGGATATCTTTTCCTCAGTTGGAATATGTTTTCTGTTTAATTCATTGGAGTTTTACGGAGATTTCATGAGAAATGAGTTCTGCTTCTCGTCACCGTTTCAGGCAAGGAGCACTCTTAAAACATCTGGAAATCGAACAGTATCCTGAGATTACTCCTTAATGAAAAGCCAAGGATAAAGATTTCATCAATAGATCAGCATTGTCTTTGTACTTCAGCAAGGTTAGGTTCATCATAATCGAATGCTCACGGACATAGCCGCTTAGAAGGAAGCATGCTCTTATGGGACCTGGATGACAGCCAGACAGAACAAGGGTCGGACAAACGGAACCACAGCAGCCAAAAGTTTTGCTTTTCCCAATGGGAGCAAAGAAAAATCTACATCCTTGTCTCCATTTCCTCCTCTTGAAACCATCAATATCTTGGTCTGTTTAAACTCTCAACTTTGAAATGAAATGAGACATTTAATTCAACAATGATCGCTTTCAACGTGTCTCAGGAGACTTCACTGGAGAACGATAGAGTGACATCAGCCAGTCCTGAACTCACAACCCCTGCCATCAAAGAAAAAGTAGTATTGACCATGGGCTATATCCTTAGTGTAGGATCCATTTTGATCATCTCTACCAACCTTCTAGTCGCCATTGCCCTGATCTTGCTTATCCGCAAAAGGGGCTACCAGAGTTGGAGTTTTGTTTTAAACCTATCCATTGCGGACATCCTAGTAGGCATGGCCATCACTGGCATCGCCACTGATGCTCTGGAAGGAACGACGGCCTCCATGGAGAAGGGCATTTGTTTGTTGCGCATGACCTTTGTCCTCGCACCCACTGCTGCCTCCATCCTAACCATGTTCTTAATCTCACTGGACCGCTACATTGCTATAAAGTTGCCCCTGCGCTATTCGCAGCTTATGAATGAGAAGATGATTGCTGGGGCTCTGGTTCCCGTCTGGCTCATCTCAATGTTTGTGGGATTTTCGCCCAGCTTTTTGAAACCAATGCAGAAAAAAGACTATCTCAATGTCTGCACGTTCTTCTCCGTCATCGAGCCTAAGACCATCATTGTGGTCTTCTGCCTGTTTTTCTTCCCACTACTCTCGGTCTTCATCTATTTCTACATGGACATCCTAAAAATCGCCTGCGGCCACCAGAAGCGCATCTGCGCCCAGCAATTGGGTACACGCTTTCTGTCGTCTAGCCGCTACTGGGGTCACGTAAAAGCCCTGCGGACTGTTGCGATGCTGGTTGGCTGCTTCACTCTCTGCTGGTGCCCCTTTTTTGTGGTCAGTATTGTACAGGTGTCTTGTCCAAACTGTAAACTTTATCACTTTTTGGAGAACCATCTCTGGCTGCTGGGACTCTCGAACTCCCTTATAAATCCCCTCGTCTACGCCTGCTGGCAGCGAGAGGTGAGGAACAAGATCTGCGAGCTCTTCGTTCATGTTAAAGTTGTGTTGTGTTGTGTAACACACTCCGAGACAGCGGACAGATACCCCACAGACCACCCGACTGTCACTCAGTCAGTAGCGTTTCAGGACAAGATGATAGCCTCTCCGGGGAATTATAGTAGGTCTGTCACAATTCCTGAACTACATCAGGAAAATATTGCCAATAGAGTGGGAATGTCCTTTTAGTCCTCTGGTCATAGGAAACTGTAAAAGGTCTTGCTTCGTCGTTAATGGCTTTGTTAATGGATGTGGAGACCAGAGTATTTGTCTAAATAAAACAGGCTTTATTTGCTTAACATGTCTGCTTCCAATGAACACATTACATTCAAAATATAACCCTAGCACTTAGTTCCCCCGTTTCCTCTTGTTTTTTTTTTTTTTTTTAATTGTAAAATAGATGACTGTAATATAGATTAAACTCATATATATTCAACAGAACAGTGTGTTTTTGTTATCCATTATACAATTACAAATGTAATTTGGTGATAGCCTATAGAAAAAAATGATGAAAAAAGGAAGTCTGGTTAAAAGCAAGACAATGAACTATTATACAAACCGAATGTTTATGTACTTTGTAGCAGTAGATTTTAGCTAGCAAACACTTGCTAAATAATATATTAGATAACATTTAAATATTTGCTTTGACTTCAGTACAATGACAAAATTCAAGAAATTTATTTAATATTGACCAAAACATGTTGTCTTTTTGATATGACATTCATTTTTCATAATCATTTTTTTCAGTATAAATGGGGCTACATAAAAATATGATCTGCTTGTGGTCCTCCACAAGAGTGGGGGTTTTGGCATCAAAAGTTTCCCTGTGTTGTGACAAAAGGCCAACCACTAATTGGAAGACAAATTCAAAACTGTGCGAAAAGCATAAATTGCCAAGAAACATGTGTAAACAGTGAAATTATTGTTATAAGTGTATTAAAATAGTGTAAAAAGTCAAGTGTATTATTTTTTTTACTAAAATTATAGGCTAGGTTAACTTAGGCTATTTCAACGTTATTTCTACTTTTATTTAAATGTTACCTTTAAATGTATTTGATTGTAGACCATTTATTGTTGTACTCCTTTACATTTTTATAGGCTACATGTAGCCTATGTAAACGTTATGTATGTGTTACGCCTTTTTAGTATGTCAATAAAACTATCAGTGTATGCTTCATATGTTCATTGGTTCTTCATCTGTAGAATATTGCAAAATATGAGAAATACACTTTCAGCTACAAACACACAATTAACGCTAAAGGAGAAATCTGAGTTTAACAGTCAGTTAACTACATATCCCACAGTCCTTTTCAACAACCCGGAAAAAGTAGTACCATGTGCAAAACGCTAACTTAGTGGAACTAAATCCTTCCGGAGTGACTGCGGCTCATCACAATGAAGTAAGTGATGCATTGACATTTATGCTTTGAAATGTAATGTCTTCCTTAGTTTTGTTGCCATATGTTTTTCATTAGTCTAATACAGTTACTAGACCCCTCAGTAATGGAAAAGGAAATGTCGCTAAAGGTGAAAGCTAAACAACTAGCCTCAGTGTTTGTAGCAGTAGCTAAAAGCTAAATATTCATCTGGTAAAACATGAAAGTAAACTACTTTTATACTTCGATTCATTTATTCTTTTTGAATAATTTATAGGACATGTAACAAGAAAATGGAAACATAAAACGACCACTCGTTCTGCATACAGCGTGACAGTTATTAATATTACATAATTAGAGGATAGGCTACTGTATTATTACCATAAATGGATATTTGGGATAAAATGTTTGAATACAGTTGACATACTTTAAAGAAGTTAATTGTTTTTAAGTAGTGAAAAGTCATCCTAACGGAAGAATCATAAGTAATTCTGGTATCTTCATGCACAGACCACAACAGAATAATAAACATCATTAGAGAATGCATGTTGTACTAAATAAGATATAATGCAAATATATGTTCATTATCTGTCTTTAGTCCACTCACCAAAGTGAAACTCATCAATGAACTGAATGAAAGAGAGGCTGAACTGGGTGTCAAAGACAGTGTGTCCTGGCATTCAGTCTATAAGGACAGCGCCTGGGTCTTCATTGGTAAGTGAAATGGTTTTGGAAATTTTGGTTTGACTGTATATGTAAATAATAATAAATCATTTAAAAATAAATAAATAAAAATAAATAATAATATAGTAATAAATGGATTAAGAGAAAACCAGTTTAAAAACTGTAAAACATTTTTTTTAAATAAATAAAAAATTACTGTCATACTTAATGAATAAATAATTTGAATAAAATACACAAAAAGATTAAAATAATAATAAGTTGATTTAGAGAAATAAAAATAAAGAAAAAATATAAAAAAAGATCAAGTTAACTATCATTCTAAATAAATCAATAATTTAAATAAAGCACATAAAATAATAAATTGATTACGAGAAAGACAGTGTAAAAAAAAAAAAAAAACTAACTGTTGTACTAAATAAATCATTTGAATAAAATGCATAAAAATATTAAAATAATCAAATAAATAAATAATACATCTAACAGTACACTACTTTAGTGAGTATAAAAACATAGTAACATAACACAAAAATGAAATATGTTCTAAATAAAATTTTATGCATATTTATAATTATAATATTTCACAGTATAAATTGTATATTTATATAGGCAATGCCACTAAAATGCTCTCTGGATGGACTATATTTGCACTGTGCCAGATGGTGGCAGCATTCACCCGTTTCAGCAAACGTGTTCTTCTGTAGACGATGGCATGATCACACTCTTCCTCTAGGAGCCCGTGTACGAGACGGATGCTGATTTGACCTTTAATTAATATGAATTACTCGCATTCATTTGCCAGACTAAAGAGAACAATTTCAAGAATTGCATAATACTTTGTTTTATAAATTCTGTATTTATTGATAATTTATTTTAGGTAAATGCTGTTCAGCTTTGTATGTAAATATGTTGTGATCTGCAGGTGGATTTCCATATGATCTGACAGAAGGAGACATCATCTGTGTTTTCTCTCAGTAAGTCCTAATCGCATCTAAAACACATCATCTTGCAGTGCTTCTGTTTTATTTCCTCCTAGTAAAGCGTAATCCTCCTCTGTGCATCTCAGGTACGGAGAGATCGCCAACATCAACTTGGTGCGAGATAAGAAGACGGGCAAATCCAAAGGGTTCTGCTTCCTGTGCTATGAGGACCAAAGGAGCACCATTCTGGCTGTGGATAACTTTAATGGAATCAAGGTGAAGGGCTTTTCCAGTCGCTTATTCAGTTGTGTGTGTACTAGTGGAATATGCTATCTGTAGTTATTTATATAAACTATATATATATATATATATATATATATATAATTGGTAAATGCTAGCCTAGTTGTGGATCAGTGACATTATTTGTATCCACACTTTTTAAAAAAATCTTAAAAAAGGCAAATCTTAAAAAAGTTCTATTATAGTATAGTTTTAGAGATAAAGGTATTTTTTTAACAATATCATGCATTATTATTATTATTTAGAAATATTACATTTTCGGGGAGTCGCACATGACATTTTACAACCTTAACAAACCATCTTGTTATAAAAATGCAAAATTATTTGATTTAATATAGTTTATAATATAATTTAAATCTATTATTTAATTAATGTTTACATATTTAATTTTATATTTTTAGTTTTTCCTTACAAACCATATTGTTATAAAAAGGCTAAATTATTATATTTTATTTAATATAGTTTATAATATAATTTAAGTGTATTATTTAATTAATGTTTATATATTTAATTTGATATTTTTTTTGTTTTTCTTCATTATGATATCAGTACAGTTATCAGGGCCCCTTTTAACTTATTGCCATATATATATATATATTTTTTTTTTTTTACATTTTTGACATCATGTATATATTTGTTCTTTTTGAATTGTTTTTCTGCTCTACAGATTAAGGGTCGAACCATACGTGTGGACCATGTCGCAAATTATCGGCCACCAAAGGACACAGATGACATCGATGATGTCACCAAACGTTTGCGAGAGGAGGGATGCGCTCCCAACGTGCCCCAACCTTCTGAGACCGAGTCTGAGGAAGATAATGCTGTACCTGTGAAAAAGCCCAAAAAAGGTGAGGAGAGGCTGCATCTGTTCAGCGAATGGAACTACAGTCGAAATGTCATTATTTCAAGATTTTGTATTTAACAAATTCACGTATTTACTTACTTAATAATTGATTGGCTCATGTTGTCGTACCTCAGATAAAAAGGAGAAGAAGAAAAAGAAGAAGGAAAAGAAAGAGAAGAAAAAGCCACTGAAGGAAGAGAAACGTGAGACGTCAGCGTCTTCCCCTGTCAGAGTGAAGAAGGAGAAGGAGGACACGGCATATGAGAAGTACGCTGTGAAAGGACTGGCAGGGAGCAGAAGGGACAGGGACAGACCCGGACAGGATCCCAGGAATCCACAAGACAGAGAGGAGGAGGCGGACAGATTCAGAGATAGGTATGGAGGCGAGCGAGACAGGGATAGAGAACAAGACAATAAGACCGATAGAAACAGAGAGGGCATAAGACACGAAGATGCCAGACAGCGAGACAGGGAGGGGGACAGAGGAAGAGGGGGTGATAGAGGGAGAAATGAGGAACGAGAGAGAGAAAGGGAACGTGATAGAGACCGAGACGGAAGGGAGCGAGACAGAGGAAATGGCCGAGGGTTTGCCAAACACAGAGATCACAGCCGTGAAAGAGAACACAGGCGAAATTGAGCAGGGATTTTTTAATACAAATTTTGTGTTTTTTTGTGTGCGTGTAATTCGAAAATGTAAATAAATCTTTCGATTTTTTATTAAACATCTGTGTGGAGTAATTAACTGTATAATGACCGCCTGATATCACACAATATACTCATTTGCAGTGTTGGGGAAAGTCACACTTAAAAGTAATGAGTTACAATATTGCGTATGACTCCCTTTTTTTGTTACGTTACTTTATTAAAATGACGTTACTTTTTATGGAAAGTATTGGGTTGTGTTGCGCCAAATGCGGGTAAAGATCAACTGTGGCGGGTAACGCTGTCAAATCACTAGCCAATTTGGTGTGTTACTTATGTTTACTCACTTTGCTGGGGAAGTTCGTGTAAGCCAAATCTGCAGATTTAGCGCAAATACTCAACTCGTGAGTCATCATGAAATATTAAATACAGCGTATTGCACAGAATCTGTGCATATCTGGCTTACTTGAACACACACGTCACTACGCAACAAATAACGGCGCGCTTGTTCATTTGCATGGAAGCAATAGCGAAGATTAATAAGCATTTGGTTAACGGGAAATACGTTGTTATTTTCCAACATC